GCACCTGCCACTTGAACTGTAGTAACCCTGTTACTATTGTTCCAGTTCTCATCAGTGGCCACATCCATGTCATTTTCCAGACCAGGGTGCAACATGGTCTAAGGCCAGGGTCCCAATTTGTGAAGGAGCCTATGCATAGAGAACCCCACACATGAAGGCTTCCCAATTTTAGACACACATGGATGTCAGGCCTCAAAAGCTGACAAAAGGCAGAGCCCTACCTCCATTTCATGTGAACAAGGCATAATAGGTGTATATGTGTATGCCCCAGCCCTGAACATAGAAACATGAATCTAAACAGAATTTAAATCAGCTGCTCACAAATACTTGTAAGCACATCCACAAGTGGTATTTAGGTATAGCACACTCACTTTCTGCCTCTGTAGGCTGCTCTGTTGTTGCTGTGAACGGGTGGTCCGTGCCTGTGTCAGCCATTCTTGGACACTAGGACTCTGGGAGGTGACCAGATCCAATTCACACTCCTCCTTTTCCTGTAAAACTCCCTGCTTTTAATAGAAAGTAAAAAGAGGGAGAACAAAAGTGGAATGTGAATTTAGGGAGCAAGATTGCCATTTGGAGAGCTGATGCCACCTACTTCTCAAAGTGATGATTCAGGTCCATATTATGACATATTTAAATGTAATTCTGGAGTTGTAAGAAAACTTTACCTGTAAGCCATTCTACATCAGTGGCACCTCATTTGAGCTCTCAGCTGCTATGCATGGAGTTATAAGATCAGTGAAGGTATACAGCAGGGGTAGGAAACCTTTCCCCTTTAAGGGCTGAGGGACTTCATCTCCCAGAATTCCAGGAGCTATTGGCCAACGTGGGACTATTGGCCAACATGGCTGAGGCTTCGGGGAGCTGAAGTCCCTCGGCCCTTAAAGGGGAAAGGTTGCCTAGCCCTGGTATACAGGAAGGCATGCTGACCTGGTTTAAACAATATGTTAGCAAGATATAAAATGGGCCTTTTGATTTTGGGTGGATAAGAATGTGGACTGCATGAATCTTGGTCCAAGCACTCTAATAATTACTATACAGGCTCTCAGACCCACAAGAGCTGTGAGTCACTTTTGCTTTCTATATGTTTAGTGGCATTGAAAACAGCATCTTTCTCCATCTAGTTCAGTATTAGGCAACTGCAGTGGGTCTGGAGGTTAGTTTTCTACCCCTGGGACCATCTGGGGGTCCATATGGAATGCCAAAAATGTTAAAAAACAAAACAGAAATAGAAACTTTTGATTTTGAAAAATAGGTACTATTTTTAATGTGGTGGGCCTCAATAATGGCAGATTACCACTCTAAACCAGCTCTTTCTCTCTGCTAGTAGCAAGACAAAAGCCTCTACATTTTTTACAGGCAGTACATGATGGCAACATGTAATCAGAAGTATTCACTATCCAAATAGGAGGTAGAATTAGGTGTTGTAACTGATGGAGGGTAGGAGTTTATATGGGCTGAGATTTAGGAAGAATCTTTGAAGGAATCAAGAAATGAGCAAGTACTGACACCTTTTGTTTTATTTTACTTAATAGGTTAATTTTAAGATCACCTGGGACCTAAGAAACTGGAAAGTTCACATATTGGCTTCTGAACACTTCTCTTTTTTAGAAGTAACCTTTATGTTATTCAAACTCAATCCTGTTCACACACTTCAGCACAATTTCCCTGTACTATGTCCAGATCAATATATTTCTACAGGCTGAAGAAAAAGTACAGCATAGGATTTCAAGGTGGCTATTTCTGGAAATATGTGGTTACAGTTCATTAATTTAGAGCAGCATAGTTTTAAAAAAATGATTTAAAAATTGCATCCCTTATTTGAATCTGTAGTTTTATCTGTCATGTGATTTAATGACATTGACACATGGTAGTGGGATTAGGGATCAGCTGGATTCACATTTCTTCAACTGTTGCTCATGTCTCTGGTCATTAATCCGCAGGGAATTCATTTTGCCATTATAAGTAAAAGTTTTATATGAGAAATACACATCTATAATAAATAAAACTCCTGCCTGATAACACAGTATATGAAAAACAAGAGAAAATTTGAAGGGAATAATGAAAAGATTCTTTTTTCTGTGGTCGCATAAAGATTACAAACAAGTTCTTATTTCAGCTGCTCAGGTGAAAATACATAATGGATATTCGAAGTCCTTTTTTAAGAGCTATGCTCTTATGACAACTTCATGCATTTTGGAGCAATCCTTTAAAGCAAAGATGATTTTTCAATAATGTACTATTTAATTATTATTTAGAATAAAACTGTTTTAAAGTTACTAAATCAATGAAGAAACATTATCAACACAATAGAAAAGTTTAATATGTGTGCTGATGCAAAAATAATTTTTTTTTATACAAAAATATTTTATTGTAATTAAGAATGCCTTTATTTGCATTGATTAAGTTTCATTGTGCTTCACAGGCTTCCTTGCAGAAAACTGTTCTGATACTATAATGCCAATGAAATCTAGTTTTTATACTGATTATTAATGGAAGTTATTTTACTCTATTCATTGTCAAATATACTTTTAGAAGTATATTTTAGAAGTTTATTTTCTGCAGTTGTACAAACTTTCAAAATTAGAAATTTCAGAAGATTTCAAATGGGAAAACAGAACAGCTTGAAATATAACCTGTTTTTGCACAGTAAAGCAAAGTTTTAATAACCAACAACAAAAACAAAAACATCAGACTTTGCAAGAAAAAGAATTCAGGGGTAAACAGTGGTAAACTATGGACCTCTGTGTGTTTTTGGAGCTTAACAATTCATTTAGCATTTAAAAACAATTATGGGAATATTATCAGGATTTTGGTACAAATCTAAGTTCTCAAAAACCTCAGTATTTTCCATAGCTATCTCATCACATGAGCCTCAGCTTCATCAATATTTTGTAATACTGTGGGAAATACATGGATCCTTACTCTATCAAATACAAAAAATGTATTGAGGAACTAAAATACAGTACAGGAGTCCCTCTGTTCGCAGGTGGGGAGGGAAACAATGGACAAAATAGGGTGCACACCTGGGGCACGCGCTGCCATTCAAATCAGTGGTTCTTGAATACTGGCAATGTTCTGTTTTCACTAGGGCAGGGTGTCCCAGAACAGATCCCCCATGAAAACGGAGGGGCAACTGTACTTGCTCTGCTATGTCTAATAGATAATAAAATACCTTATTTAACTGCAAAATTATAAATGTAGGCATTTCATACATTTTAAAAATAGTACTTAAAAAAAAACAACCCACCAGGACCCACCATATTTAAATACCTAAATGCAATACAAATAATCCCGCCCCTAAATTACTCAGTCCCTTATTTGATGAAGGGAAAGATTGCAACAAATGAGAAAGGTTCAATAAATTTAGGATTCTCCAGATACCTTATTGAGATAAAATAGTAAGGTTAAAATAAGGAAATTAAACTAATTTAGGAGGGCAGTTCTAATCATTTGAGAATTCATTAGAGATAGCCATATAATAATGGAAGCCTCTCTCTCCATTTCAAGTTTTCCCCAACACCCACATTAAAGAAGGAAGAAAAAAATATAAACCCAGTCTCCCCCCGCCCCCAACTGAAAGCCAATTAGGAAGAGCTACTTACTTGGATGTTGATCTGCTTGTCGTGGAGGACTCTCTGCAGCTCCAAAAGGCTTCCCTTTAGTGTCCTTAGTTTTACTGCCAGCTGCTCAGCCTCATCCTTGGTATGAGCTTTTCCTTCCATGAGAAGGTTTTCATTGTGTACTGACAGCTCAGACAAAGCTACCACCTTCTGTTCAATTTCCACAAGCATATTCTGAAGCAGCAAAAACAAGGAGGCAAATTCATACATCTTAAAGTATCCACCAGGCGCTTACCTCATCTTCTTCCAAGCTAAGAACAAGCCAGATCTGCATTTCTGCCCTCTCTGGTTTTCTCCAGTATCCTCAGAAATATGCTTCCAATATTTTGCATTT